GGGATTACCAGCCTTGTGCATCAAAGTTCAATGAGTACTCAAGGGTACCCAAGGCAATGCTTATACGAAGGGGGTAGAACTTAAACTCTAGGATTAGTGAGAGTGTGTGACATAGCTTTTAAAGAAATTGAGTTGAAAAACAGTTTAATAAATGATCCATGTAGAACCAGTTTTAAAAGAAAACAATGTGACAATTTTGACAATCTCAGAGCCAAAATACCACATATAGTTCAGGGAAGTAAACACAAATAGGGAAAAAGGGAAGTGGGGACAAGTAGTTCACATGTAAGAGCATAGACATCAGAGAAAACACTTCAGCCTTCAACAGTCATACTCCCTCCCAAAGAGATTCAAGATGATTTAATAGCTAGGAAGGGTTATGAATACAGACTGATAACGTATTGGGTTAGGGGGTAAGGAAGAAATGTATTAACAAGTAAAGAAAACATAGACAGGCTGAACTACAGGAAAGATGATCACATCAATGAATTAGCAAAAAGCATGCTAATTGCAATGAAGACAGCAGAACCATAAGTAGAAGCATGAAAGAAATAAGATAAAGTGCAGTATGTATAAAAACATATTGTTTTGGAAGCTGTAAATCAAATAGAGGGCATACCAATCGAGTATGAGATAATATAGAGCAGTAGTGTGCAGAGAAGTAGAGCAGTAGTATGCAAACCAAGCAAGTAGCAATCTATAGAGCAGTAGAATAGTAGAGCAGTCCCAAAATCACTCAGTCTTGGCTTTCAGCCGACTGAGTAATCAGTAGTCAACAGGGGAAGTGAGATAGGATGTGTAGAGAAACAAGAGAGAATAGTGAGTATGCTTATGTGTGTAAGAGAGAGTTCAGAACACTGAATCTCTTTTTTGCTAAAGAGAGGGTAGAGTACTTATAGTTCTTGAAAATAAGTGGAAAATAAGGTAATACGTATAGACTGATTATAATTATAGAAAGAATACTTATTAGAATCAATTAAAAACTCGGATTTCCTTCAATTAGGGAGCCATAGCTCAAACGGTACAATTCGGTCTGCCTTCTCTCTAGGAAGAGAAGGAATAGTAATTCTATCATCATTTTCCGGTCATAACTCCGGCATTCGGTGGTGGAAATAACCAAACTTGGTCTCAAAAGATACATAATTTCCTTACGAATAATACCCAATTGGTTTAAACTTCAGATCTATAGTCAATTTTTGTAGATCTTAATTTTATTCTCACGAGTTACTGTAGCAGACAGTGTTCTTCGTTCAATTCTAGGAATCCAGCAAATTCCAGCGTTACTGTTGAACACAATAGCCTGTTTTGTTAACGTGAAAGTGTTCTCCTCTCTTCTAAGATTGGATTAATTTATAAGCTTCATTTTGGATTCACAACCAACGCAGTAAGTAAAGTGAAGTTATTTCAAATTACAGTAGCATCGTTTACTTGCAAAGTGTCATGTAAGTAAAGTGCTAAAGGATTACAACTGTAATGGACACACAGGCAGGTGGCCAGCCACATTTGGAGGTTGCACTGCCTAAACAACCTCCACCAAACATTGCACAAACATCAGGGAACACAAATAATAACAAACATCCGATGGATTACTCCAAATTTCTGAAACCTTGCACTTTAAATGCTACAATGCAGGAGCAACAGGAAGTTGAGCCAATTCCTATTCGTCCACCTACAATACTGAATGGAGAACATGTTATTCAGTGTACAGAAGCAGAAGTAGAAAGGATGGAGATCATCGAAGGATTACAATATGCAATAGTTGGTAAATGTTCTTATGGAAGCCCAGAAATTCAACAATTGCGTAAGTTAATACCAATTCAATGCGGAATTAAAGGTGAATGTAACATTGGTTTTCTAAGGGATAGACATATTTTAATTAGAATGACGCTAAGGTAGGATTATCTTCATTTCTCATCAAAAACTCATTACATAAGGGACAGGGATGGCTATCAATATCAGCTTAGACCGTTGATTTATGACTCAAAGTTTAGAGCAGATGAAGAAACACCCAAGGCAATGGCTTGGATTTCATTCCCAGGTCTATTGCCAACTTTTTTTGTAAAAGAATGTCTATTTTCTCTTGCTTCAGCAGTAGGTAAACCTATGCATCTAGACATGGCAACAATCAATAAAACTAGACCTAGTTGTGCTAGGGTGAAGGTACTAGTGGACTTACTTGCAGATTTGCCAAAAAGGTGAGGATGGACATAGTAAACGAAGCTAATGGAACAACAAGAGCGGAATGGGTGAGAATTCAATATGACATGCTGCCTAAATATTGCAAACATTGTAAACTTCAAGGGCATGATCAATTTGAATGTTGGAGGATACACCCTGAACTATATGTGGAGAAGGATAAGTACAAACAAGCAGATACAACTAAGAAACAGGACATAGGGAACTCACAGCCTATAATGATGTTATCTAGTGGAAAGATCGTGGGTAATGTTAATGTTACAACAAAAGAGCAATGGAAGGAAGTGAAGGACAACAGAGTTAGAAATGTAGTAAATCAAAATACTAGTCTCACTAATAATGAAATGAAGATGACCCCAACCAAACAGTTTGAAAAAAATAAGAACAAGGAGGGTACAAGCAATATAGAGAGACAAGTAGAAGTACAAAGCAAAAGTGTTAGGGAGTTGGTGGCAGTAGACAATGAAGATAATGATCATGTTCAAATAGCCAACAAGTTTGCAATATTACAAGGGATGGAGGAAGAGGAAGAACCTGTTAATCAATTGGCAATGGTGGCAGCTAATGTAGCAACAAATAGTTCAGCACTTCATAACCAAGCATCTAGAAAGCAAAAATCAAAAAATATGGTCAATAATTGGGGAAAGTTAAATCCAGCAGCACAAGCTTTTCAACTATACTCATCGGGGACTAATTTGACTAATGCTCTAGTCAATGGAATGGAGGCAGCAAAATCAAAAAACGATACTGCACAATGGGTAGAAAGAACCTTCAAGGATAAGACAGGAGAAGGAATAGTGAAGATCAATAAACCATGCCAGGAAATCCCTTCAAAAGATACATTAGTGAACAAGGTTCTTAATAAAAATCCAAATACTCAAGAAGAAGGTTCAAAATCGTCTACATTTAAAGAAAAAGTGCAAGATTGTGGAGGCAGACTATGGGAGGCACAAATGGAATACGATTCAGAGGAGAACGAAGTACCATTAGGAGCACAAGATGATGAGGAACCCAATGAGAATGACAAAGAAGAAGAGGAGCAAAGTGTAAATGGAGAGATTCATCCCAATGACGACAATCCAACTGAAGTCACAGAAATTAGTAACAATGAAGGAAGAGGCCCAGAGGTAAATGATCCTGGAGGAACAGAAGATGATCAACTTCAGAAATCACAAGAAGAATCACAAGGACACAACAAAACAGAGAAGGAGAAACAACCAAAACAAAAAGAAGAAATAGTAAATATTACTATTACATTGGAGAAAAACCAGTTGCAGCTATTAAAAAAAGTTGAAGAGAAAGCCTTGGTCCTTAAAAATAATGCATTTGGAGCTACATCAGGAGGGAAGGAAGACAATGAAGAGGGAGAAGAACCTGGTAAAACAGGATACGACATGGATCAAGAATCAACTACCCAACACCTTATGAATGCTGCAAGGAAAGGTGACTTATCACCTACACAAGTGAATAAGGCAAAATCAGCAGCAAAAGGTAAGAAGAAGCAACAAAAAGATAATCTTGCAGCACCAAAATCTGGGATGCACACAAGGAGAACGCTAACTAAATCCAACAATCAGTAATGAAGGCTCTCATTTGGAATATAAGGTCAATCAACACACAGCATGCCTTTGAAAGGTTGACAAAAATGCATAGGCAAAATCACTATAACTTTGTAGGATTAATGGAGCCAAAGCAACAAGCAAAAAAACTGGAAAGGTACAGAAACAAGATAGGACTTGCACAGGCAATTTCAAATGTTTCCAACAAGATCTGGGCTTTTATAGATGAGGTATTTGAGGTAACTGTTATGTACAATATGGTGCAACAATTAACACTAAGATTGTTTCATACTGAATCGCATGTGGAGTTCGTCCTATCATTGATATATACAAAATGTGATGCAATATAGAGGATAGAATTGTGGGATTCATTATATGCAATGGCAAGGAATATGGATGCAGCATGGCTTGTAGGAGGAGATTTCAATGTAATATGGGACAAAGAAGAGAAGTTTGGTGGGTTACCTGTGTCACTGAATGAAATTGATGATTTTCGACACTGCATCAACACTTGCAATCTATTCGACCTTGGATTTAAAGGCAGCATATTTACATGGTGGAATGGGAGAGCAGAGGAAAACTGTATATTCAAAAGACTAGACAGATGTTTGTCCAATGTTGAGTTCCAACAAATATTTCCAGGAATAGAGGTGCAACATTTGTCAAAGACTGGCTCTGATCATAGTCCAATGTATCTGAAGTGTGATATTGAGACTCCACCTATAAAAAAACATTTTAAGTTCTTGAATTTTTGGGTGGAACATGCGACGTTTAAAGATGTGGTGAAAGAGAATTGGTATGCTGATTTCAGTGCAAATCCTTTTATTCTTTTTAATCACAAGTTAAAAAAAGTAAAGAAGGCCCTTTCATTGTGGAGTAAGGCTACATTTGGAGATATTTTCCAAAAGATAGCAAGTATGGAAGAGGTAGTGATGGTTCATGAAGCAGAATTTGAAACAAACCCTACAGGGATGAACAGGGAAAGATTACAAAAGGTTCAGGCAGAATTGATCAAATGTCTGGCACTAGAGGAGAAATATTGGCAACAAAAAGCAGGCATGACTTGGTTCAAGGAAGGGGATAGGAATACTAAGTTTTTCCACGCACAAGTGAGAGGTAGGAGGAAGAGACTTCAACTTAACAGAATTCAAAACAGTGGAGGAACCTGGATTGAAGAAGAACAAGAGATTGCAGAAGAGGCTATCAAATTCTACAAGGAACAGTTCACAGAAGCAGCTAATCCTACAACATTTGATATCGTAGAGCATGTTCCTAATCTGATTAACAATGAGCAGAATGCAGAATTGATTAAGCAACCAACAAAAGAGGAGGTTAAAATGGCAGTACTTGGTCTTAATGGTGATAGTGCTGGGGGGCCAGATGGTATGACAGGAAAATTTTATCATTCTTGTTGGGACCTAATAGGGGATGACCTGTACGACATAGTGAGGGATTTTTTCAATGGTCATGAGCTACCAAAGTGTGTAACACACACAAACTTAGTTCTTATACCAAAGAAAAAGAAGTTACGACATTTTCTGATTTAAGACCAATAAGCCTCAGTAATTTTTCTAATAAGGTTATTTCAAGGGTGGTACATGAAAGGCTAGTGAAATTTCTCCCAAGTCTGATATCGGAGGAACAAGCAGGTTTTGTTAAGGGAAGGAATATAGTAGAAAACATCCTTCTAACACAGGAGATAGTGACTGACATTAGACTTAGAACTAAGGCTGGACCTAATGTCATCCTGAAACTAGATAAGACCAAAGCTTATGATAGAATATCTTGGCTATTCCTAACCAAAGTACTGAGAAAGATGGGATTCACAGAAAGGTTGATAGGGTTTGTCTTTGGTTTAGTTTCAAACAATTGGTATTCTATTCTTATAAATGGTCAAGCTCATGGGTTCTTTAAGTCCTCAAGGGGAATAAAACAAGGTGATCCTGT